CAAAATGCCATACCTATACTTTTGCTCATCCGGATAATGCTGCTTATAAATTTATCCTCATTGATACTCCTGGACTAAGCGACACAAATGGCGTTAAGCAAGATGACAAGAATATTCAAGAGATTATAGATGCTGCAATTTCTGCCGGTTCTTTATCAGCTATTGTAATCATTGCAAATGGAAATGAAGCTAGAGTTACTCCAACAATCAAGAATACATTGGTTAGATTGTCAAATAACCTTCCCGATGATCTGTTGGGCAATCTTTTGCTTATTTTAACAAAGTGCACAAAAAGTAGTGCTTCATTCTCCGAAGATACTTTTTCAAAAGAAATTGCAAAGCCCAAGGTTAGAACCTTTTTTTATTATCCTTTTAATTCACAATAAATTGTTATAACTTTTTTTCGAATACTATCAGAAAATTTTTTATATGGACAATCAATTTTTCTGCACCAATCCTAAAGTCTGGAAGATGATAAAGATGAACGTTTCAATGTTGAACATCATTGGGAAATGTCTCTTAATACAATTGATAGATTATTGGAAGCAATTACTGAATTATCTTTTACTTCGACCAAAGCCTTTGAAAATATGAGAGATTACAGAAACAAAATCAAATCTGAAATCGCTAAAGTGACACAAGATATTACAAATATCCAACGAGTTCAAGATTGCCTTGAAGCAGCTCAGAAAGCATTACAAAAAACTGGCAATCAAAAGAATTCCTATTCTAATTATACAAAAACTGAAACAATCACTCTCGACAAAATTGTTCCCTCTAACTACCATAGTACTATTTGTACCCTTCATGACAAAGAAAAAATTTGTCATGACGGTTGTGGACTTAGTATGGAAACAAGTTCTGGAACTGATCACTTTATTCGTTGCTATTGTATGGGATCAAACAATTTATGTAGAGTATGTAATTGTGGTCCTAGGAGGTAATTTTAAACTCTACTGTTCATGATTTTTTTTTTTTTTTGACTTCTTTAATCCTTAATCTCAATAATTTATATAGCCACTATCACGCCATGGTCAAATTGGTTAAGGAAACTAAAACATTAAGTAAAGTTCTTGAAGACATGAAAGCACAATATGATATGGCCAACCAACAATATCAAAAATACAGTACTGATGCAAAAAATTATCAATCATCACTTTCAAACCTCCAAGCTACTGCTAACGCTAAATATGAAGTTATCCACAAACTTTGTAAAGATTTAAGTAAAATTTGTTCTCGGTTTAATTTTGTTGATGAACTTCATGCAAATATTGAAAGCATGAGACAAGATGCGAGATTAATACAAAATGTTAATATACGAAGGAATGCTGAAGCAGAGATTCAAAGACTTGAGAAATTAGCTACAGATTTGTCATCCAATCGAGGAAATGTGTAAGTTGATTATCAGCATTTAACATTTCGTTATATATTTAGAAAGCATTATATTTTATACACACTGAATGTACTCAGGTATTAAATGAAGCAAAACTTCCTGAAAGTAAAATACTGGTTGGCCTTTATGCGTTTATCCATTTTTATTTCTTTAACATATACCTGATTTTATTCGATATATAAATATATATACGCGTGGGATGTTATTTACTAAAAATATTAACTTCAATTATTAAATAAATACTATAAATACTGAAAAGCAAAGTGACAGGGCGATCGTTATTGCGAGATCAGATGACTTTATGGGATCACATGTTTTAATTGACATTTATGGAATTCGTGTATGGTTATTGTTTTCACTTTTTCGCGACAAAAAATACACTTTTTTATATCTTTTAATGCTCACTTTAGTAAACCGCATTTAATAAACCATTAAGTAAAAAAAAAAAAAAAATCCATCAATCATTTGTAAAATTTATTTATAACCTTTATTTTCTTGATTTACTATTGCATCATGCTTTCTTTTTCATAGTTCAGTATATTTTTTGCGACGTTTGTTACATGTAAAACTAGCCTAGAAAATTTCTTGCATTAAATGTTTTTGAATTCGTTATGAGTTAGAGACTTTACAGCCAGGCAATCGTATTTTTATATAATTTAATAACAATAATGATAGAGATGTATTCTAATAAGAAACTGATTAAAATTAGAGTTCGAGCAATCCTTAACTATACAATATTTTTGTAAACACTAATATGTAAGAACATATATATTTTGCTTAGAAAATTAAAAGTTGCCATAATAAAAATTTTATTCTTTTTACCATTAAATATGTCCACGATATCGATATTACATTTTTAATCACGTGCCCGTTTTTTGGCATAGA